TTTTCTCTTTCTTTTCCTCCCTCTATCCTTTCATCAGTACCTTCCTATTCTCTCTCTCTTCTCTTCTCTCTACTTTCCTCTCGCTTCCTTCCTTCTCTCTTTTCTCTCTTTCTTTTCCTCCCTCTATCCTTTCATCAGTACCTTCTCTCCAGAGGGTGATTAGACATTTATTCTATATTTCCCGCAGCCCCTCCTCACACTAATACGCTCACCAGTCACCGGATAAATATTTGCAGCTCTACGAAAGCCAAAATCTCCGGGTTTCTGATCTCCAATTTTCTCTCCAAGTTTCAGGGTTGCGGCCAGCACCTCCTCCTTCCCTTTTCCTAAGTACCCCCTGTAGCTCTTTCCACGGCTGTCAGATACACTTGGACCGCTGTCGGGGTCGTGGATAACACGGATGACCCTTTTTTTTTTTACCTTGGTGACATCCAGCCAGGTAGGGGTTAAGCTACAACGCTTATGATAACAAGCCTTTTGTCACTGAGTCAGGGGAAGGAAAGAAGGAAGCCTGCCTCCGGATAATAGGAATTTCTGTGCCCCAGCCACTTCCAGCAGCTACGGACTCATGGATGGGAGCGAAGAGACTCGCAGATGGGAAGCGGTTAACCATGCCTTGTATGTGTGTCTGTAATTGTACTGTCACCAGCGATACTCTCCTCTGACTCTTTGGAAGAGGGCGCAGAGTTGCACAAGTCCCCCTTCTTCTTGGCGTATGGGTAAGAGTAGTGTTGGGACCCTCTAAAAAATGCTTGGTAGATGGGTCCTGGTGTTCCTGGCCAGCTGGGTGGTTTGCCATGACGCTCAAGATGCCCAGAACCTCACCATTGTGGTGCTGCTCCCAAAAACCAACACCTTATACCCCTGGGCACTGCCAAGAGTCGGACCCGCTATCCAGATGGCCATCGACCGCATCAACGACGACCCCGGCCTCCTCCCAGACTTTCACCTCTGGGCGGTTTATGGGGACACCGAGGACAAGCACAAGAGGTGCTCCGGGTCGGCCGCCCCGGTGACTGCAGTGGTCATGCAGTTCATCTACCACCCCTATGTTTTCTTTGGCCCGGCATGCATTTATTCAGCCGCTCCGGTGGTCCGCTTTACCGAATACTGGAAGGTCCCCCTGATCACGTCCGGTGCTTCGGCAATCGGGTTCGGCGTCAAGGACGAGGAATACAAATACATCACCAGGACGGGAGTCGTCCACTCCAAATTGGCCCAGTTTTTAAAGCACATCCACCAGCAGTACAACTGGAGCAGCCGTGCCATGCTCCTGTACAGCGACGACAAGGATGACCGCGCCTGCTACTTCACCGTCGAGGGAGCCTTCGTGGAGCTGCCAAAGTTCAACAATATGACCGTGGTGGATATGAACATGAAAGAGCACAATGTGATCAACCATACCTCCATCATCCAGGACATCAAGCAGAAAGGGCGAAGTAAGTAATAACTCTGCTGTCTTTGTTCGCCAACTGCGCCGGGGAGGGGCTGCACCGACAGCAACTTGTAGGCTTCTTTTAGACCCACAAGACCATTTAGAATTATAGACCACAAGCAGCTGTAGATGAAGTCCTACCTTCGAGCGTGCTAATAAGCTTCTTGTAGACGCACAAGTCCATTCAGGGTTGTAGACCACAAGCAGTTATGGCACTACAAGTGCCAACATGCAAGGAGATTATGTTTCCATCCATTTTCCGGTCTGGCAGAAGTCGGTTCTCGCCAACCATTGTTTCCAATTGTGGTCAGAAAACCATTTCAGCAGCCTGGCCATTTGCACTCAGGCAAAAAGCTTGTGACATGCTGGAAAAGGTTTTAGAAATTCTCCAGCGTGCTGGATGTCACATCCAACTACCGCTATTTAGATCAGCTCCTTTGACACAGTTGGTGGATTGTTTATGAAGAGTCTATCATGGCAGTTGAGTGGTTGTAGATGATAAATCACCACAATGTGGGTCAGGGGCGGCAGGGACAAGGGTCACTTACAGCAATTGTATTCAGGCGCTGCATTATCTGCGGCCGCTTGGTAGGCATACGTGCGGTTCTGCATCCCTGCCTGTTAACTGAATTCATATTGATGGAGAGAGAAATTAACTTTCGGCAGTTAAAACAACATTAATGTTTAATTCCACGGAGGCTCTGCTGCGTTTGTTTTTCACCCGCTGGGGAAGGACGCCTCACGCTACATGCCGCCGTTGCCTGCAGGTTGTGGATTTTGTAGCGGGAAAGGTGAGGCTGGTGGCGACAAGGGGAAAAGGTGTGGCAGGGCACGGATTGGGCACTTAACGAGTCTGAATATCTGCTGGAGGAGTCGAGGATCAGCGAAATTCCTCAGGGTCAGGCAGCTGTGTGTGTGGATGTCTCTGTTTCTTGGTATCCGCAGGAGTGTGAAGGCGGAACAAAAGGAGGAGAGGGGGAGTGGAGGTATTCCTGCAGAACTGCAAACCCCAGCATGCACATTTCCTGATAGCATCAGACTCCCCGGCTACTTCAGGACTACAACTCCTAGCATGCCCATACCCAAGTCCCAGCACGCCTACAGACCTAGAACAGCAGCAGGACTATCCCAGCACTCCTATAGACTCACTGTAGAACTAAAAGTCCCACCATGCATGCAGGCCTGCTGCAAATCTAAAAGTGTAAAAAATTGACACACCAAAAAGTCCCAGCATGCAAACAGACTAGGGTTGTCACCTGTCCTTGATTCACCCGGACAGTCCGGTTTTTAAGGCTTGTGTCTTGATACCCGGACACATGACACTAAGTGCCAATACTGCTACTTTTAATTTTTTGACAGATGTGACTACCAAGGTCCCCAGCAAGAGCGAGACCTCAAGCAGCCGCATCTGCCTGAAGCCACATCTTCCTGCGAGCTGGGGGCGCCTGTTTACAGGTGCTGGCCCGCACATCTCCTCTGTCGTCCTGATACCACCCTGCCCACCCTAGACCCCTAGTGAGACACCACACAGCCCACATAGCACTCCTGAGAGCCTGCATACCTGAGACCCCACACAGCCACCTTTGAGCCCACATAGCTCACCTGAGAGCGTGCACAGCCCACCTGAGAGTCCGCATAGCCACCTGAGGGTTCGTATGGCCCACCTGAGAGTCTGCACAGCCCACCTAAGAGCCCGCACAGCCCCAGAGTCCACCTGAGAGCCCACAGGGTCCCCCTGACAGCCCACACAGCCCTGGTGAGAGCCCGTAGAAGCCAACCTGGAGACATCAGGGTGCCACTATTGAACAACAGAGTATGTAGCTTCATTTAATTTTGTAGTGCTGTATAATGTATTGCTGGGATTTGTAGTCCTCTATAGCCGGTCTCCTTACTCCCTCCCCCGCTTGCCTCTCCTCGCTCTCTCTTCTATATTCTAAAAAAAATAATTTGCTGTGTGTGGCGCTAGTGTTCGGGTTTCACTTGACGTAAAGGAGGCAACCCTAAAACAGACCCATTGGTAGAGCAACAGGCAGGCAGGTTTGCTGTAGAACTACAAGTCCCAGGTTAAACGCAGAACTCCTGTAGAACTGCAACTCCCAAAATGTCCATTGTCTTCTTGTAGACCTACAAGTCCATTTACAGTTGTAGACCCCAAGCAGTTGCAGAATGCCCAGATTACACATGGACCTGTTGAAGAACTAGAAATTGTAAATTTACTTTTTGTGGACCTACAAGTCTATTCGGCACTGCAGACGTCTTGTAGTTGTGGAACTACAAGTACCAACATGGCCGAATAGTGCTAAAAAAGATGGACTCCTGGTTCCTATGTGACTACAGGCAACAGCATACTGTGCTGTCATTTTGGCAACACGGACTGCTAGGATCTGTAGTTCCATGGCTGCTAGGATCTGTAGTTCCATGGCTGCTAGGATCTGTAGTCCCATGCTTGCGAGGATCTGTAGTTCCATGGCTGCTAGGATCTGTAGTTTCATGGCTGCTAGGATCTGTAGTTCCATGGCTGCTAGGATCTGTAGTTCCATGGCTGCTAGGATCTGTAGTTCCATGCTTGCTAGGATCTGTAGTTCCATGGCTGCTAGGATCTGTAGTTCCATGGCTGCTAGGATCTGTAGTTCCATGGCTGCTAGGATCTGTAGTTCCATGGCTGCTAGGATCTGTAGTTCCATGGCTGCTAGGATCTGTAGTTCCATGGCTGCTAGGATCTGTAGTTCCATGCTTGCTAGGATCTGTAGTTCCATGCTTGCTAGGATCTGTAGTTCCATGGCTGCTAGGATCTGTAGTTCCATGGCTGCTAGGATCTGTAGTTCCATGGCTGCTAGGATCTGTAGTTCCATGGCTGCTAGCAGACCAGTCAGGATGCTTGTACAGAATTAATTTGACACATTAGGACTTATTCTGCAATAATTGGGCCCAAATTGCACAATAGCGACCCATGTGAAGTACAGTAATTGATTAACTGATTTCATTTCAACAGCTTGAAATCCGAGGTTGTTACGGGTGACGGCGCGCCGGGTTTGCTAAATAAGCGTAATAACATGGAAATTGGCACCGTGTCAGTTTTTCTGACGATGCCTGCATTGAGGAGCGTGGAGGCTTGCGTTCACTGTCGCCCTGCCCACTGTGTTCAGGTTATGAAAGAGTTAAGTAATTTGGGGGAGTCAGCCGCTTGAAGATCCAGTGAATGAATAACCCACAGCTAACGCCAGCCATAGAGTTATACACTTATTGTTACCAAACTAGCACAGCCCCAATCCAGGGCAGAGATTCGGCAGAAGCAGAAAACCCTCAACGGGCGATCCAGGTCTCCCCTTCACCTATGTTCAGGGCTCTATACAGGAACCTCTTAGGGTTCCCCTCTCCTATGTCCACAGCTCTGTATAGTCTCCTCTTCACCTGCATCTGGAGCTCTATATAGGAACCTCACAAGTCTCCCCTTCACCTGTGTCCTCACCTGTCTCCTCTTCACCTGCATCTGGAGCTCTATATAGGAACCTCACAGGTCTCCCCTCACAAGTCTCCCCTTCACCTATGTTCAGGGCTCTATACAGGATCCTCTTAGGGTTCCCCTCTCCTATGTCCACAGCTCTGTATAGTCTCCTCTTCACCTGCATCTGGAGCTCTATATAGGAACCTCACAGGTCTCCCCTCACAAGTCTCCCCTTCACCTATGTTCAGGGCTCTATACAGGATCCTCTTAGGGTTCCCCTCTCCTATGTCCACAGCTCTGTATAGTCTCCTCTTCACCTGCATCTGGAGCTCTATATAGGAACCTCACAGGTCTCCCCTCACAAGTCTCCCCTTCACCTATGTTCAGGGCTCTATACAGGATCCTCTTAGGGTTCCCCTCTCCTATGTCCACAGCTCTGTATAGTCTCCTCTTCACCTGCATCTGGAGCTCTATATAGGAACCTCACAGGTCTCCCCTCACAAGTCTCCCCTTCACCTATGTTCAGGGCTCTATACAGGATCCTCTTAGGGTTCCCCTCTCCTATGTCCACAGCTCTGTATAGTCTCCTCTTCACCTGCATCTGGAGCTCTATATAGGAACCTCACAGGTCTCCCCTCACAAGTCTCCCCTTCACCTATGTTCAGGGCTCTATACAGGATCCTCTTAGGGTTCCCCTCTCCTATGTCCACAGCTCTGTATAGTCTCCTCTTCACCTGCATCTGGAGCTCTATATAGGAACCTCACAGGTCTCCCCTCACAAGTCTCCCCTTCACCTATGTTCAGGGCTCTATACAGGATCCTCTTAGGGTTCCCCTCTCCTATGTCCACAGCTCTGTATAGTCTCCTCTTCACCTGCATCTGGAGCTCTATATAGGAACCTCACAGGTCTCCCCTCACAAGTCTCCCCTTCACCTATGTTCAGGGCTCTATACAGGATCCTCTTAGGGTTCCCCTCTCCTATGTCCACAGCTCTGTATAGTCTCCTCTTCACCTGCATCTGGAGCTCTATATAGGAACCTCACAGGTCTCCCCTCACAAGTCTCCCCTTCACCTATGTTCAGGGCTCTATACAGGATCCTCTTAGGGTTCCCCTCTCCTATGTCCACAGCTCTGTATAGTCTCCTCTTCACCTGCATCTGGAGCTCTATATAGGAACCTCACAGGTCTCCCCTCACAAGTCTCCCCTTCACCTATGTTCAGGGCTCTATACAGGATCCTCTTAGGGTTCCCCTCTCCTATGTCCACAGCTCTGTATAGTCTCCTCTTCACCTGCATCTGGAGCTCTATATAGGAACCTCACAGGTCTCCCCTCACAAGTCTCCCCTTCACCTATGTTCAGGGCTCTATACAGGATCCTCTTAGGGTTCCCCTCTCCTATGTCCACAGCTCTGTATAGTCTCCTCTTCACCTGCATCTGGAGCTCTATATAGGAACCTCACAGGTCTCCCCTCACAAGTCTCCCCTTCACCTATGTTCAGGGCTCTATACAGGATCCTCTTAGGGTTCCCCTCTCCTATGTCCACAGCTCTGTATAGTCT